AAGGAACCAGCAGTGGATGATCTACTTTCTGAAACAGTGTGAGAAAGATAAGGAGAATGTTAGCTTTGCACTCAAGGAGCTTCAACTTCTGCTTTTCCGGTATTTGCAAGAGTTTTCCTGACACTAGGGGAAAAAGAAACAGTGGCCAGAGACTTTCTCCTAAAAATATGCAGGAAGGAAATGTGGAGGCCAAGAGAATTCCATGCAATGGGTGCCAGGCTTGCCTCAAAATAGGAGCTGAGGGCCAGCCCGTGGCTCACTTGGGAGAGCGTGGTGCTGACAACACTAAGTCAAGGGTTAAGATCCCCTTACCGGTCATCTTTAAAAAAAAAGAAAGAAAGAAAAAGGAAAAAAAGAAACAGAAGCTGATGACAGTGAGTTTTTGGTATTTTTCTTCCAAGGTTGTTTCAATATGCAAAGCAGGTCCTCAGCGGCAGCTGCTACTCCATCAGCCACATTTCCTGAACTGGATAGTGTATTTTTAGTTGGCAGGAAAAAGAAAAACAAAGTAAAAAAAAAACCCGACTTGATTAGGAAGGAGGTTGGTTAGAAACTCAGATCAGTGCTTAAAGCTTCGCTATATTTCCCAGATGAACTACCGATAACCTGTGCAGCAGTGAGCAAGGTGTTTACTTCAATTCTCTCCTTTTATTTGAAAAAAATCACATTAGTAATGATGAATATATTTTTCTGTACAAATCAAACAATATGGAAGTCTCCAGAGCATAATTCCTAATTTCACCCTCTAAATCACTACTCCCCTCTTCAGGGGTAATCAGGATCAATATGTTTGATGTACAATATTTATTATAGTTATCTTTCTAAAATACACTTACATATTTTGGAGCACACATTTATGTTTTATTGTTTGTTTTTCTTTGGTTAGGTCTATTTTAATTTAATTGTGATGTCTGTAACTAACTTATTTCTTTTAACAATATGTTCACAGGATGTTTACACTTTAGATTCACTTAGGGTTTTTTTTTTTGTTATTATTATTTAAAAGAATTTATTAAATACAGAGAAGGCCACAAGAAAATACAAGTATACTACTAAAATACTTACAGGTAAAATGATATGATTCTGAGATTTGCTTATAAACTATCTGGCAATAGAGAAGTAGCCTGGGATATAAATATAAGAAGCCTGGCCGAGAATTGATCATTGTTGAAGCTGGGTAGTTGGAGGTATACAATATTAGTCTCTTCATTTCCATGCATTTGAAATTTTCCATAGTAAGATACAAAAACATATATGGGTGGTATAAACTATTCCAGTTCACCAAATCTCTGATTCTGCCACAGATTACAGGCTCCCAGGGCTCCTAGGCCTTGTCACATTCCACATTTCTTCTGCAAGAGCTCAAAAGTCACCCTCTCTGGAAACTTTCGATTACCTCAGCAGATGGAGGTGGCCCCAGTTTTACTCTTATTATACTTTGTATATATACTGCTAAACACACATACACACTATAGGAATTATCTCATTAAACTGAGATTTTTAAAAAGCTATCACTGATTAAGCTCTTAACCTATATCATACGTTAGTTATATCTACATTAGTTTATTCCCTCCTCCCAACAGCTCTGGGAGGTAAGATGTTTTATTTCCATTAATAGATGTGGAAACTGAGGCTGCCACCTCAGTACAGGGATGGAACCCTCGACCTTGGTATTATCAGCATCACACTCGAACCAACTGAGCTAATGGGCCAGCCCTTTTTTTTTTTTTTTTGGTATTCTTCAGTGAACTCTTTTTTTGGCAGTTGGCTGGTACGGGGATCCAAACCCATGACCTTGGTGTAATAAGGTTGTGCTCTAACCAATTGAGCTAACTGGCCAGCCCAGAACTTTCAACTATTGTACTTTTCAGCTGTAGAATTTCTATTTGGTTCTTTTTATTATTTTCATTTCTCTTTTGAGATTCCCTACCTGTTCACTTCGTAATAACATACTTTCATTAAGTTCCTTAAAAATGATATGGGTTGGGCCGGCCCGGTGGCACACTGCTACAGTGCGCCGCTTGGGAGCGCGGTGGCGCTCCCGCCGAGGGTTCGGATCCCACATACAGACCGGTTCCCACTCACTGGCTGAGCGAGGTGCGGGCGCAGCACCGAGGGTTGCGATCCCGTTGCCGGTCCCAGTCCAGTACGGGCATGACACTGAGGGTTGCGATCCGTTGCCGGACACGAAAAAAGACAAAAAGGAAAAAAAAAAATGATATGGGTTGAATGTTGCCTCCAAAGTTCATGTTGAAGCTTAATTCTCAATATGGTATATGAAAGGTGGGGCCTTTAAGAGGTGATCAGACTATGAGGACTTGCCCTCATGAATAGATTAACACATTCATGGGTTAATAGGTTATCATGGGAGGAGACTGTTGGCTTTATAAGGAGAGAGAGAAGCATGCTAGTGCGCTTTTACCCATTCTTCATGTGATACTCCACACCACCTCGGGACTCTGCAGAGAGTCCCCACCAAGAAGAAAGCCCTCACCAGCTGTGCCCCTTGACCTTGGATTTCTCAGCCTCCCAAAATGTAAGAAATAAATTTATTTCTTTATAAGTTATCCAGTTTCAGGTATTCTGTTGTAAGTCACAGAAAATGTACTAATACAAAGCATATGCCTTACTAACTCTGGAACATATTCTTAATAGCTGCTTTGAAGTCTTTGTCTGTTAAATCCAATATTTGGGCCCACTCCAATTCAGTTCCTATTTACTAATTTTCTTTTTCCTGAGTGCTTCTTTTTCACTTCCCTGATTCTTTGCATGTCTAGTTATTTTTGGTTTAAAACTGGACATTGTAGCAATGTGTTATACCCACTCTGGATTTTTAAAAATTAATTATTACTATTATCATTATTTTACATTCTAAGATGTTGTTGTGGAGCAGATGGGGGAGGGGGAGAGGGTAAAAGAGAGGATGATAGGGTTGGAGGGGTGGTGTGGTCGAGGCCCATGGCACACCCCTCATTCTGGCAGAGGAGCCCGGGGGCCTCCAGTGGTGGCTCAGTCGTGGCTGGGCTGGATGTGGATGTCAGGGGGGTCATGACTGAGGCCGTCGGCCTTCCCCCAACCCTGGCTTGGGAACCAGAGGAGGTGTTCTGATCCTTCTATGTTTTATAGGTGTTCTTTGGTGGTGTTAGACCTTTACTGGTTAATATCAGAACTTTGTCTCCAATCTGTGGATGTTGTGTTTTATTTCACTTTTGTGTTGGATTATTAGCTACTCCCACCACTTAAACTCTGCACTGGAACTAATTTGTTATCCTTTGGTTACTTCTAAAATGGAGGAACTTCCTTTGGGTACCAGTATTTAAGCCCTATGGTTGAGCTAAATTGCTGCTTTGCTGCTGATTCCCTGGGGAAGACTTTTTGTGCAGCTCAGGGTTTAATCGTTGACCTTGTAAGCACTTCCAGGTCTTGTGAGGTCTGATACACCTGGGTTGTGTGGAAACTCTGATCTGGACCTGAGTCTTTTCAATAAACTTCATCCCCTGCAGATCTATACTCCTGAATAGTCTATGCTGAATGCTCCTGTGCTGATTGGAGGGCGGATCAACTGTCCATGTTGTGCCTCAAATGTTCCCCTGGTGGACCAGTCTCCCCCATCCCCAGAACTCCAAACTGGCCATGTGCTGGACCCATGCAATGACTCGCTGGCCTCTGAGTGGCTCATTTTTTTAGTTGTCTGTGGGCCCTTGCTCCTGTGTGGTTCCACAGGAACCCTGTTAGTGGTCTTGCTGGCCTAGGGGCCACCAAGGCCCACTTCTCCCCTGCTGCCTCCAAGCAGCTCCATCCAAAGGGGACTTCATCTTAAACTGGTGAGGGCTCAAAATGGTTGGAGCAGTTCTTTCTTTCTCTCATTGTGGCTTCTCTTGCCTTCATGAACTCTGTAGGTCTCTCTACCTCTTCCCTTGAGCTTTAGCAGCCTCAGCTTGTCTGTCATTCCTTTTACTAGCTGTAAATTGGTTGATTGTGGAAGAGTATGATGCTGGGTTCCACCTCTTCCACCATATTGATCAGAAGTCCCACCCTAGCCATTCTCCCACTCTGGATTCTGTTTTGTTCTTACAAGGGTTGTTGCCTTTTTGTCCTAGTAGGCAGTTAATGTTATAAAGAAAAATGTAACTTTAACCTGCACTGTTGCCTGTATAACTTTAGCTTGCACAGTATAACTTTAACTTAACCTGCACAAATTGTTCCTGTAAGAACTTACTAAAAATGAGGAAAACATATCTAAAGGTATTTTAAGTGAAGCAGTTTTTTAGAGGTCAAAGCAGAACTAGACACACATTCCAGAGGCCAGCCGGTCTCAAGGACTAACCAGCCCTCTTATCTTCAGGACACCTGGCAGACGCCAAGTGATTGTTAAGCCTGACCATGAATAAAGTCTTTGTCCAAAGAAACTGTATTAAAAACTCCAATGTAAAGAGGGAGGGGGCCACTTTTTCGAAAGGCAAAGGGCCCCAGCTAGCTGGAAAATAAAATTCCTCTTGCCTAATTGCAGCATCTCTTGTCTTGTGGTCTTTGTGAAGTGAGCCACCCCTGGCATGTGGGATTTGTGCAAAGTGCATGGGTCTTACAATTTTGGAGGGCTTGTCCGGGATTGGCTCGCTCTCCCTGGGACCAGAGACTAGAGAACGGAAGATCGCTCGAGTAGGTACCATGGTTGTCTGTCTGACTGTGTCTGTTTCTTTTGCTGTCTGCTGTGAGTTGTCATCTGGTTTCGGTGGCTCAAAGAAGTAATCACCGGTCTGATTTTAGATTTTCTGGGGCTCCATAGGGGAGCCATCTGTAGTGGTCAAGTGGCAGGGCAGACGTGCCGGCACGGCGCAGACACAGGAGTTCTGGAGGACACTCCAGATTCCTCTGTAGGAGACTCCTTCCGAGTTTTCTGATAATCTGGTGGTAGCAGCACTCGTGGAAGGGGCACATCGGTGTTTTGTTTCTTGTCTGTCTGGTTGTGTGTGTGGGGACTGACAGGTTTCTAGGGCGACATGGGGCAAACTGTCTCAACCCCTTTGAGTCTGACTCTGAAACACTGGACTGATGTGAAATCCAGAGCTGATGGTTTGTCTGTGCCAATTAAAAAGAATAAATGGGTAACACTTTGTTCTGAGGAGTGGCCGGCTCTCCAACTTGGATGGCCTGCTGAAGGTACCTTCTCTCTGCTGCTGATCACGGCAGTGAAAAGGAAAATTTTCAATTCTGAACATCTCCCAGAACAGACATTTTATATTATTGTCTGGGAAGATTTAGTCATGGATCCTCCTTCCTGGGTCTGTCCCTTTGTTCCCTTAACAGGTCCAATGGTTGTATTTGCTCTCCGAGGAGGAAAAAAGAAACCAGAGGTATTGCCATCCACTGACCGGACTGGCTTCTTTCTGATCCCCCTCCCCACCCTCCTCCTTTCCGATCACAGGCAGCCCGACCGTCTGCTCCACCGGAGGAAAGCCCACCAGAGAATGAACCTGAGGGAGGGCCTACTCAAGAGACATGCGGTAAACGAGTAGCCCCTCCAGATGCTGTTCCTATTTTCCCTATACAGGCTTATGGCCCCCCCGATGAAGAAGGCAATCAGCCCTTACAGTATTGGCCTTTCTCTTCCTCTGATCTTTACAATTGGAAATCTCAGAATCCCCCTTTTCTCTGAAAACCCCCAAGGTCTCACTAACCTTGTAGAATCTCTCCTCTTTACTTATCAGCCCACCTGGGATGATTGCCAGCAGCTTCTCCAGGTCCTGTTCACCACAGAGGAGAGACAACGAATCCTCCTTGAGGATCAAAAGAATGTGCCAGGGGCCAATGGGCGACCTACTCTCCTTCCTGATGTTATAGATGCAGGGTTCCCGTTGATCAGACCAAACTGGGACTTCAATTCGGCTGAAGGTAGGGAGCACCTAAAGGTCTATCACCAGGCTCTAATGGCAGGTCTCAGAGGGGCAGAAAAACGCCCCACCAATTTGACTAAGGTGAGAGAGATAACTCAGGGGTCCGATGAGTCTCCATCAGCATTTCTAGAAAGACTCATGGAGGCATTCCGTCGGTTTACCCCATATGACCCTGGTAGTGAAGGGCATAATGCTACAGTGACGGTTGCCTTTATTGATCAGTCTAGCAGGGACATCAGAAAGAAGCTGCAGAAGCTCGAAGGGTTGCAAGATAAGTCATTAAGAGAATTAGTGCAGGTGTCTGAAAAGGTTTATCATAACAGAGAGTCAAGAGAAGCTAAAGAAATAAAGAGAAAAAATCACCAAGAGAAAAATTTTCACAGACTTCTGGCCATTGTAGTTAGGGAAACCAGAGAGCCTAATAATATGGTGCCAAGCAATAAGAAGGGACCCCTGGCAAAGGATCAATGTTCTTACTGTAGGGAGAGGGGACACTGGGTGTGGAACTGCCCCAAGAAAAAGAAAGAGCCTCAAGCCCCCAAAGTCTTGACCTTGCAGAAAGACAGTGATTAGGGGGGACGGGGTTCGTGTCCCCTCCCTGAACCCAGGGTAACTCAAAGTGGAGGGGAAGCCTATTCAGTTGTGGTAGACACAGGAGCCAAAAATTCAGTACTGTTACAAGCAAATGGACCTCTTCTTTTTTTTTTTTTTTCCTTTTTGTCTTTTTTCATGACCAGCAACGGATCGCAACCCTCAGTGTCGCGCCCGTACCGGCCCGGGACCGGCAACGGGATCGCAACCCTCGGTGTTGCTCCCGCACCTCGCTCAGCCAGTGAGCGGCCGGTCTGTATGTGGGATCCGAACCCTCGGCGGGAGCGCTGCCGCGCTTCCCAAGCGGCGCACTGTAGCAGTGCGCCACCGGGCCAGCCCGCAAATGGACCTCTTCTCAAGAAAAAGTCTTGGGTACAGGGGCTACAGGGAACAAACAGTACCCATGGACTACCCAAAGAACAGTGGACCTAGGCGTGGGCCGGGTATCCCACTCGTTCATAGTCATTCCTGAATGCCCCTACCCATTGCTGGGAAGAGATCTCCTCACCAAAATGGGTGCACAAATTCATTTTGACCCCGAGGGACCTCGGGTGCTAGATCAGCAAGGGAAGCCTCTCCAGGTATTAACCCTCAGGTTAGAAGATGAATACCAATTGTTTGAAAAGCATGGGCAGCAGACTGGACAGATGGACTAGTGGTTAGAAAACTACTCCCAGGCGTGGGCAGAAACAGCAGGGATAGGAAAAGCTAAGAACCGGCCCCCCATCCACGTAGAATTAAAGGCTCAAGCCAGCCCTATAGCTGTCCGCCAGTACCCAATGACCAGAGAAGCACACAAAGGCATCCAACCCCACATTGCCCGCTTGCTCCAGCTGGGAATCCTACGGAAGTGCCAATCAGTGTGGAACACACCCTTGCTGCCGGTTCGGAAGCCTGGGACTAATGACTATCGACCAGTCCAAGACCTCCGAGAGGTAAACAAACGTGTGGCTGATTTCCATGCCACCATCCCTGATCCCTATAATCTTTTAAGTTCTTTACCTCCAGACAGGACCTGGTATTCAGTACTGGATCTCAAAGATGCATTCTTCTGTTTGCCGCTGACTGTAAAGAGTCAGGATTACTTTGCCTTCGAGTGGAAAGATCCAGAGACTGTCCTAGTGGGACAACTCACCTGGACCTGCCTGCCTCAAGGGTTCAAAAACTCGCCCACCATCTTCGACGAGGCCCTCCACCAGGACTTGGCTATGTTCCGGTCCTCTAACCCCCAGGTTACTCTGTTGCAGTATGTGGATGATCTCCTCCTGGCAGCGGCCAATGAGAAGCTGTGTCTAGAAGGAACAAAGCGACTCTTTACAGAGTTGGGAGAACAAGGCTATCGAGCCTCCACCAAAAAGGCCCAGATCTGCAAGCGACAGGTCAGTTACCTGGGGTACCTTCTTAAGGATAAAAAAAGATGGTTGTCTGAGGCCAGAAAAGAGACAGTGTTTCACATCCCGCCACCCTCTAACCCAAGGCAAGTCAGAGAATTTTTAGGTACTGCTGGGTTTTGCTGCCTGTGGATACCTGGTTTTGCTGAGATGGCAGCCCCATTTTATCCCCTCACTAAGAACAGTCAACCCTTCAAGTGGGGAAAAGAGGAACAACGGGCTTTTGATAACATTAAAATGGCTTTAATGTCTGCACCGGCTCTAGGACTCCCCGATGTAACTAAGCCTTTCCACTTGTATGTGGCAGAAAATAAGGGAATTGCAAAAGGGGTCCTAACTCAAAGACTGGGGCCCTGGAAAAGACCGGTAGCATATCCATCCAAAAAATTAGACCCAGTAGCCGCAGGGTGGCCAGCCTGTCTAAGGATCATAGCGGCAGTTGCCGTCCTAGTAAAAGATGCTGACAAATTGACTATGGGGCAAGATTTAGTCATCTCAGCACCGCATGCCTTAGAGAGTGTTGTCTGCCAGCCCCCTGACCGCTGGCTCACAAATGCTCGTATGGCTCATTATCAGACTCTGTTACTAAATTCAGACTGGGTTACTTTTGCTCCGCCGGCGAGCTTAAATCCAGCCACACTGCTGCCGGACCCTGACCTCGACCCTCCCATCCATAACTGCCAACAAGTGCTTGCTGAGGCACATGGATGGTGGAAAGACTTGTCAGATCAGCCTTTGACGGATGCTGAAGCCACCTGGTTTATGGATGGCACCAGTTTTTCCACCTGGTTTATGGATGGAAAGAAGGAGTACGAAAGGCAGGAGCTGCTATAGTGGACGGCCAGAATCTAATATTGGCACAGACGTTACCTGCTGGGTCATCCACCCAGAAGGCAGAACTCATCGCCCTCAGAAAAGCCCTTGAACTGGGAGAAGGCAAAAAGATCAACATCTACATGGACAGCAGGTGTGCCTTTGCCACTGCCCATGTGCACGGCGCTATCTACCAACAGCGGGGTCTGCTGACCTCAGGGGGAAAAGAGATCAAAAACAAAGAAGAGATTGTAGCCCTGCTGGAGGCCCTTCACCAACCACTAAAAGTGAGTATTATACATTGCCCAGGTCACCAGAAAGGGCATTCCCCTGTTGCCAAGGGAAACAACTTGGCCGATTCTGAAGCAAGGGCAGCAGCCCATGGGTCCTCGTCTATTTTGTTGGTTAATGTCCCCAAGCCAGAAAAGCCCAAATTTAAATACGCGGCTGAGGACGTAGCAGTGATCTCAAGGGACTCTAATAATTACTTTGATCAGAAAACAGGGCGTTGGCATGCAGCGTCAGGCAAGCCTATCTTACCACAAGAACAAGCCCATGCCATGATCAAACAAATGCACCAATGGACTCATCTGGGAATAAATAAATTGACCCAGACTACCCTAAAAACAAAATATCATATCATAGGGCTAAAACAATTAGCAGAACAAATAGTTAAAATCTGTGTACCTTGTCAAAAAGTGAATGTCTGCAAAAATACAACAGGCCCTGGTAAAAGACTTAGAAGAGACAGACCAGGGATGTATTAAAAAGTAGACTTTACAGAGATTAAACCAGGCAGGTATGGTTACAAGTATCTCCTAGTTTTTATAGACACCTTCTCTGGATGGGTAGAGGCCTTCCCAACAAAACAAGAAACAGCCACTGTCGTGATCAAGAAAATCCTAGAAGAAATCTTTCCACGGTTCGGAGTGCCCAAGGTAATCGGGTCTGACAATGGACCCACCTTCATGGCCAAGGTAAGTCAGAGAGTGGCCAGACAACTAGGGGTCGATTGAAAATTACATTGCATTTACAGGCCCCAGAGTTCAGGACAAGTAGAAAGCATGAACAGAACTCTAAAAGAGACTCTGACTAAATTAACCATAGAGACTGGTGTGGACTAGGTGTTGCTCCTTCCCTTAGCCTTGTTCAGAGTTAGGAACACCCCCTCCCAGTTCAACCTAACCCCCTTTGAGATACTCTATGGTGCCCCTGCCCCCTTGACTTTACTGGGGGATGCCTTTGAACCCACTTGCCACAGTAACAGTGACTTGTATGCCAGGTTAAAAAGACTTCAAGCAGTGCAGAAGGAAATCTGGATGCAGTTGGCAGCCGCTTATGAGCCTGGGACCCCCAAAGTCTCTCATCAGTTCCAGGTTGGGGACACAGTCTGCGTCAGACGACATCATTCCCGGACCCTGGAGCCTCGCTGGAAAGGACCTTACTTAGTGCTTCTAACAACCCCAACGGCTGTAAAGGTAGATGGGATCTCCGCTTGGATCCATGCCTCGCAAGTGAAACCTGCGCCACCAGAGGACCAAGGACTGGGGGGCGTCACCTGGAGAGTCCAAAGTGCTGCAGAGCACCCCTTAAGACTGAAAATAGTATGGACACCCTAACTGTTGTAAGATGAATACTCTCTTGTTTTCCTTATTCTAACCATTCTCTTCCAGGGCGCCAAAACTTCCAGCCCACATGCTCCTAGAAAGTTAACTTGGTATATTATAAATGGAGGTTAAGATTTTATAAAAAAAGGTATGATAATGGGCTATTGTTCACCATCAGACTTAAGGTAGAGATTCAATACACTGCCGTGGGCCCAAATAAATATTTAGCTCCAGTGAGACCTCCAGTGGCCAAACCGAAGGCTACCCTGACATCCCTAAGTGCCCAACCAGAGTCCATGGCCCTCACTAAGAGGTCAAAAGCCAGGTGACAAGAAAAAAGGCCCGAGCCTCCCAAACCTGAACTTCAAAAGCAATCTGGGTTATTCCATATAATCTCTGAAGCCTTCAAGGTTTTAAATAATATCAACCCTAATGCTACTCCCTCCTGTTGGCTTTGCTATGATGTTACACCCCCATACTATGAAGGAATAGCCTTCAGAAATAAAATTAAAATAACAACAAATGTTTCTAACTGTCATTGGCGGCAGCAGCAAGTCAAGCTCACCCTGTCAGCGGTTACAGGGCAAGGAACGTGTGTAGGAAAAATCCCCTCCTCGCACGGCCAGCTGTGCAATCAGACATTTAACTCAACTAAGTGGTCGGATGACACCTATCTGTTGCCCCCTCGGGGCGGGGGGTAATAGGCTTGTGCGAAATTACACCCTGTGTTAGCTCAAAGGTCCTGAAAGAAACCCAAGACTTTTGTGTTTTAGTTCAGCTGCTGCCTCAGCTCATTTACCATCCCTACGAGGAACTATTATCATATTGAGATAAAAATAATGAAAACTATCGGACTAAGAGAGAGCCTCTAAGTGTCATGCTCTCTGTCCTCCTAGGCTTGGGATTGGGAGCAGCCGGGGCAGCAACAGGAGCCTCAGCTCTAGTTATTCAGCATCAAAATTACCAAAGTTTGCAGGCAGCTATTGATGCTGATATTAAAAAATAGAAAATTCTATCACCAAGTTACAAGAGTCCCTCACCTCCCTTTCTGAGGTGGTCCTGCAAAACAGAAGGGGGCTGGACCTCTTGTTCCTTCAGCAAGGAGGACTTTGCACCGCATTACGAAAAGAATGTTGTTTTTACATTGATCATTCAGGGATAATTAAAGACTCCATGGCCAAAATTAGAAAAAGCTTAGCCAAAAGGAACAAAGAAAGAAAACACAGGGGTGGTTTGAGTCATGGTTCAACTCCTCCCCTTGGCTCACGACTCTCATATCCACCCTGTTAGGTCTGTTAATTATTCTGGTAATGATTCTAACTTTTGGTCCCTGCATTTTAAATCGTTTGGTGACTTTTGTTAAGAACCATATTGGTACCGTCCAAATTATGATGTTAAGACAGCAATTCCGGGAACTCAATCAACAAGGGACAAGTATTTCATGATTGAAATATGCACTAAAAAAAAGATTGTTATAAAGAAAAATGTAACTTTAACTTGCACTGTTGCCTGAAATGTAACTTTAACCTGCACTGTTGCCTGTATAACTTTAGCCTGCACAGTATAACTTTAACTTAACCTGCACAAATTGTTCCTGTAAGAACTTACTAAAAGTGAGGAAAACATATCTAAAGGTATTTTAAGTGAAGTAGCTTTTTAGAGGTCAAAGCAGAACTAGACACACATTTCAGAGGCCAGCCGGTCTCAAGGACTAACCAGCCTTCTTATCTTCAGGACACCTGGCAGAGCCCAAGTGATTGTTAAGCCTGACCATGAATAAAGTCTTTATCCAAGGAAACTGTATAAAAACTCCAATGTAAAGAGGGAGGGGGGCACTTTTTCGAAAGGCAAAGGGCCCCAGCTAGCTGGAAAATAAAATTCCTCTTGCCTAATTGCAGAGTCTCTTGTCTTGTGGTCTTTGTGAAGTGAGCCACCCCTGGCGTGTGGGATTTGTGCAAAGTGCACGGGTCTTACATTAACTCGCCTGTATTTAAACTGAAAAATCTGTCTCCCCAATAGTTTACAGAAATTGATGAATAGTTCTGCAGTTTTCTCAGGTTCCAGTTGCTTCTTTTTTAGCCTGGTTCCTGGGAGTATCTCCTGAACTTGTGTAGTTTTTCCCTACAGATTTGGGAAGAATTTATACTCAGGTTTTGAGGCTTACCTGATCTACAGTCCCCTTGTTTCTTTCTAAATATTTCTGCCAGCCCCAGGTTCTGCCCAATGACACTTCACACCAATAAGGTTTTTGCTTTCTGCAAAAACTGAGCTATGTGCACATTGAGTCAACAGTGCAACAAACTCACAAATCTCATGAGAAGCAGTTATGTCTTCCAAGGGCAGATTCCTCTCTAATCTCTGCCTGCTTTTTCATTGGGCTTCCTGGGGTTTCTAGTGTGTTTCCGTAGTTTAGCAGTCAGGAAGTGATTTGAGTAGAGCTTACACTCAACTTTTGGATCTCAGTCCTTCTGTGGCTCTTATACTTATGGAATTTCCTCCTTAAATATCCAGCTGCTCTGCTGTCCTAAACTCTTCTGACACCTTGAGCTGGTAAGGCTGTGATTTTCTGCCACCAGAGCTGGAGGGTATTGGGAAGTACCTCCTGCTTAAGGGCCAAAAACTGTCAGTTCTTACCTGATGCAGTAGTTCAAGAGTAAATTCTTCTCAAGAGTCATCTTCCAAAACAGTAACAATAACAACAACAACAAAAAAATTAAATAGTTGTTTTAAATAAATTTGCACAGTTTTTATAATTTATATCTATGGAAGAAATTGCCCAACATCTTTCATGATATTATAACTGTATGTTCTGCCTTTAGTGAACTGTAACAATTTTCTCCATATATGCTTTGCATACTTCTTATCTTTCTACTATTTTAAGGTTTTTATTGTTTTGGTAATGTTATCTTTGTCTAAATCCATTTTCTAATTAGTTATTAATTTTTGTATGTCTCTTTTATACTTAAATTATGCTCATACTGAACTCTTCTTCTAAATTTTTTTTTTTCCTTTTTGTCTTTTTTCGTGACCGGCCACGGATCACAACCCTCAGTGTCGTGCCCGTACCGGACCGGGACCAGCAACAGGATCGCAACCCTTGGTGTTGCCCCCGCACCTCACTCAGCCAGTGAGCGGCCGGTCTGTATGTGGGATCCGAACCCTCGGCGGGAGCGCTGGCATGCTCCCAAGCAGCGCACTGTAGCAGTGCGCCACCGGGCCAGCCCTTCTTCTAAATTTTTTAGTTGATTCTCTTGAATGGTTTATAAAGACAATCATATGGTCTGCAAATGACAGTCATGTTTTATCCCTTCCAACATAAGGCCACTCATTTCATTTACTTGACTTGATGCTTTGTCTATAACTTCTATTGTCTATAACTTCTAATTTGATATTAAATATGTATTTGTCCCTTTCTGCTGCTTATAACAAAATACATGGGAGTGGGTGATTTATAAGAAAACAAAATTTATTGTTTACAGTTTTGGAGACTGGATGTCCACAGTTCAGGGAACACATCTGGTGAGGGTCTTGGTGGTGGAGACAGTGAAGCAGGGTATCACATTGTGAAGTGGCAGAGCAGAGAGAGCATAGAGTAATCTCTTCATTCACTCTCTTTTTAAAAGCCTTCAGAACCAAGTCCATGACCACCATTTTTAATTCATTCACTATGGCATGGTCCTACAATCTAATCACCTCTTCAAGGTCCCACCTTTCAATTAACATAATAGGATTTCCCCCCTTCAGTGGTTACAGTGGGGATTAAGTTTTGGGGGGACATTCAACCCAAAGCATTCCACCCATGACCCCCAAAACTCATGTCCTTTTCACATGCAAATACATTCATTCCATCCCCAAAGTTTAACTTGTTTCAACTCAAAAGTCCTAAGTTCAAAGTCCCATCTGTGCAATCAAAAATAGTTATCTACTTCCAAGATACAGTGGCGGGACAAACATAGGGTATATATTCTTATTCAAAAAGGGAGAAATATGCCAAAAGGAAGGCATAGAGGGTTGGGCCCCCAAGTCCTCAGGGCAGCTCTGCTTCTATGGTTTTCCTGGTCTCAGGCCACACTTCAGCTCTCCCAGGCAGGCATTGCATGCTGGTAGCTCCACAGGTCTGGGGTCTCCATGGCAGTCCTGCTCCCATGGCTCCACCAGCCATGGCACTGTTGGGGTTTCTCTGCTGCAACTCTGATCCCACATTTCAGCTCGGCATTGCTCTAGTGAAGACTCTATGTGGTGACTTTGCCCCTTGACAGATCTCTTCCAGGGCTGCCAGGCTTTTCCATACATCCTCTGAAATCAAGGTGGAGGCTCCCAAATTTCCACAGCTCTGGCATTCTGCAAGCCTGCAGACCTAGCACCACGTGGACACCACCAAGGCTTCTGGCTTGTGTTTTCTGGAGCTGTGTGTCCAGCCACACTTGGGGCCAATTTAGCCATTGCTGGAGCAGCCAAAGCACCTGGGGTACTGGTGCTGCAAGCAGCTTCCCAAGGTGACCCTGGCAGCGAGCTCCTGGAAGTTTCCTCAGGCCTATTCCCCAAGACCATCCTGTCTCTCTAGGCCTCTGGGCCTATAATAGAAGCATTGGCCCCATAGCTTTCTGCAATGCCTTCTGGAACCTTTCCCCCTTCTCTTGATAATCCCTTTCTTTTGTACTAATCTTCTTAGTACCACTGAATTTTTCTCCTAAAAATGCTGTCTGCTTCTCTACCACATGACCAGGCTGCAAATTTTCCAAATCTTTATGCTCTGCTTTCCTTTTAAATTCTGGCTTTATGTCATGCCATTGCCACCATAACTTAGTTTAGGTTGTTACAAGTAGCGATGCAGCTTCCTTAATGCTTTGCTGCTTTGAAATTTCTTCTGTACTCACTTCGGCAGCACACATGCTAAAATTGGAATGATACAGAGAAGATTAGTATGGCCCCCGTGCAAGGATGACATGCAAATTCATGAAGTGTTCCATACTTTTATCATGTGGGGGGGAGAGGAGAGAGGGAGGGGGGCGAAGAATGGGTAAAGGGTCATGAAAATCAAC